GCTTTTTGTATACATAGACATGTTTATTTTAGAATTTATAGAGAAAGGTAAGAACCTAGAATAACTAAATAAATTTTGAAAAAGAATGGTAGAGTGTAAGGTATAATTTTATTTCATGTTAAGAGTTACTTTATGGCTACTATCAAGAAAGTGTGGTTTTAGTGAGGGGATAGACACATGTAAGTGGAACCTAAAAATAAATCACAAAAATATACCTTACTGATTTTTGACAAAGGTACAAAAGCAATTCAATATAGGAACAATACACTTTTCAACAAGTGGTGTTGAAGGAACTGGACAGTTGTAGGCCGAAAAAAAAAAAAAAAAAAAAAAAAAGGATCTTGATTTAAACCTCCACTGTATACAAAAATTATCTCAAAATTGATCATAAATCATAAACATAAATCTTTAGAAAAAATAGAGAATAGACAAAAATCTTTGGGACATAGGGCAAGGCATAGTTATTAGACTGATGGCAACAGTATGATCCATAGAGGAAAAAAAAAAAGTTGGACCTCATTAGAATTAAAAACTCCCTTTTCAAAAATCCTGTGAGGAGGATGAAAAGGTTAGAAAAAAAATATTTTCAAAGGTCCATTATTTAGAATACATAAAGAACCTTCAAATGTAAAAAAACAAGCAATCCAAATGAAGAATGGGCAAAAGACAGAAACACATATTTTACTGAAGAATATACAGATGGTAAAAATGCAAATTTAAATATGTTCAACAAAATTAGTCATTAGAGAAATGAAAATTAAAATCACAGTGAGATGTCACTACACATATTCAGAATGGCTAAAATGAAAAATAGTTATGACTTCAAATGTTGATGAGGATTCTTAAAAACCAGATAACTTATATTTTACCGGTGGGATATAAAATTGTATAGCCACTCTGGAAAAGATTATGGCAGCTTCTCATAAAACTAACAAAAGTCCAGCCTGTGTGGCTCAGTGGCTGAACACTGACCCATGCACCAAGATGTTGCCAGTTCCATTCCCAGTCAGGGCACAAGCCCAGGTTGTGGGCCCGTCCCCAGTGGGGGGCATGCAGGAGGCGGCCAATCGATGTTCTCTCCGATATTTCTATCTCTCTCTTCCTCTCCCTTTCATTCTCTCTAAAATCAATTAAAAAAAGAAACCTAACAACATACTTTTCCAACCACGCAATTTCACTCTTGGACATTTTCCCCAAAGAAATGAAAACTTACACAATACAATAACTTCTACATCATAGCAGTTTTATTCATAATAGTCAAAAACTGGAACCAATCCAAATGTCCTTTAGTGGGTGAATGCTTAATCAAAGTGTGATACTAGTCAGCAATAAAAGTAATGGACTATTAATACATGTAACAACTGGATGGATCTTAATGTAATTCTGAGCAAAATAAGGCAGATTTGAAAGTTTCCACTGCATGATTCCTTATATATAACATTCTTGAATTGATAAATTATACAAATCATATTAGTGGGTGGCAAGGGATACAGAAGGAGAGGAGAGATAGTGGGTCTATGGGAGAGTGTCCCTGAGATGGAAATCTTCTATATGTTTACTGTAACAGTGGTCACACAAATCTACATGTGTGATAAAATTAGACAAAACTAAGTATAACACACAAAATTTAATGTGTGTATAATACAATACTGGTGAAATCTGAATAAAGTTGGTAGATTGTGTGAAAGTCAATTTCCTGGTTGTGATATTGTACTGTAATATGTAAAATGTTACCTTTGGGGAAAACTAGGTGATAGGTATAAGGTATCTTTAGTCTTTCTCATAAGTTCATGTGAATCTATAATTATCCCCAAATCACTTAAGGTGCAGTATGAAGACTGACTTGTAACGAGGGTGGAATATACAAGACTTATTAGGTCACTGGATGAGTGTGTATGTGTGTTAGGGGAAGCAGTGAAGGACAAGACACGGTCTATGATGACAACCAGGTTTCTTCCTTGGACTTTATTCAGTTCAAGAGAAAACAGAGAAGACAATTGGAGAAGTGGGGATTGAATTCAATTCTGTACTTGCTGAGTTTATTTTCCATCAACCAAGCAGAGTATACAAAAGGAGAGCCCCAGAAAGAAGAACAGGAATCCCTGGGCAAAGGTAGCATATAGAATGTTCTGCTGGATTCTGTATATATAATCTTCATATAACATTTCAATCAATGAATGAATATTAAAATATCAAAGTCACCAGCATATCACAGCAAGGGAATTTTTGAACTCATAGGCAAGGGTAAACATTAATCTATCTATCTATCTATCTATCTATCTATCTATCTATCTATCTATCTATCTATCTATCTAATCTGTGGGAGTTTCAAATATAGGCTGGAAAGAAGAATTTGCATTTCTTTTTTTTTCTTTTTTTTTTTTAATCCTCACCCGAAGACACTTTTCCATTTTCTACTCAGATAGAGTGGGAAGGAGAGAGAGGAAGAGAGAGAAACATCGATGTGAAAGGGGCACATCGAGCAGCCGCCACGCGCACAACCCAACCAGGGCTGGGGACAAACTGCAGCCAAGGTACATGCCCTTAGCGGGAACCGAACCCGGGTCTCTGTGGACCGCAGGCCGACGTTCTAACCGCTGAGCCAAACCAGCCAGGGCAGAATTTGCATTTCCATTATGCATTAAAGTATAGAGAAATTGACACTGGGTACCCTCTGTGGGTGTCAAGTTCTATATTGGTGTTCACAATAGGCCTAAAAAGTTAACTTTTTTTTTTCTTTATCCTCACCTAAGGACATTTTTTCCATTTTTTGTTCAGACAGGGTGGGAGGGAGAGAGAGAGAAACATCGACATGAAAGGGACACGTCGAGTGGTTGCCACCCACACGAACCAACCAGGGCAAGGGATAAACTGCAGCCGAGGTACATGTCCTTAAGTGGGAACTGAATCCTGGTCTCTCAGGACCGCAGGCCAACGCTCTAACCGCTGAGCCAAACCGGCCAGGGCAAAAGTTAACTTTTATTATCTGCAATTTCTAAACAGAAGTTAAGTAATTTGCCAAAAGAAACAATTTTGATGTATCTAACTTCTAAGCTTACATGCTTTCCACTATATAAAGAAGCTTGTGGAGAGTGGAGGAAAACAGACCATAAAAACTTAAAAATAGTAGATTTTATAATCTTGCTTATTTATTTATTTATTCTTTTGTAGAGTTCATCTACATTTATAATTGTAAGTGTTCAGCTTCCTACAGGAAAGATTTAAAACCTCTATTTAGGTTGCTTGCCCCATCTCTACATGATGGCACCACAGTACAGCATTAATTGAAAATTCATGGATCCCCACTCTGCAGGCACCTGTTATGGTGGTACCTTATTGTCTGGATTAGAAAGGGGTTCATTTTATTACAGTAATTGTTAAGTTTCCCCCTCCTTTTTATTTTCCAGTTAACATGTTTCAAGGTAGGCAGGCTATAAAAACATATATAGATTTGTTAACAAGCATCTTTCATCTCAACTAATGCTTACAGATAAAAAGGAGGAGTCTTCAGTTCTGTGTTTCCAAACTTACACTGTGCATTAGTCTCAACTTAAATATTTACTAACATGGAATTCCCTAAACCTCTATACCAGTAAACAAAAAATACCTTTCCATTTCTACAGAAAATCCTGTACATAACAAGGTTTTCCTCCTCTGGTGATTGTCTCTATAATTTATTTTTTTAGTTGACATCTTTTCTCTGAGGCATTTCATTTCAGATATGTAAAGTTAACATCATTCCTATTATCTCTAGGGCTTGAAAGTCAATTAAATTCAGGATTATACATCACAGTCCATTTAATTTACAAACCAAGAACAGTCAAACTAAGTCTTGAAGAGATAATTTTCAGGTAAAATTAGACATCTCTTCTTAATCAATATACATGAAACTTCACTATTTCCAAAGGCCTTTATTATTGGTATTATTATTCAGCCATCTAAATTTTCAAAGACATTTCAACAAGAAACTCTCCAAATCTCATTATATATCCATCAAAATGCAAACTCGATCCTGAGTAATATATCTAAATGCTAAAAAGGTGGGTGGAGAGTGGGAGAGTTGAGGATGTTTACGTGAGCAGATCCTCTGCTGTCTCAGTTCATTTTGATCTTTCACCTTTCTAAATGCATCCAAACCTTAGGGATAGATTTAACTTCTCTCCCTTCACGCCATCTAGTGGTTCTAAACGGTGTAAATTTGGTTTTAAGAAAGATTCTAATGACTTGGGGGCGGGGTACACAAAAAACAAACGGTTGGCAGCAACAATTTCCTAATCTCTCACCACATCACTGACTCCTCACAAGGACACCTTTAACTATTTTAACCATTTTAGATGTGCATAGAGATGCGCAGAAAGAATGAAGGGGACACACTCATAGTGACTCACGTCCCTTGACTCTGACATTTAGAAACCGGTTCTAAATCCTTCGCGTCATTCGCAAAGGACAGGAAAGGAGTTCTGTCAAGACCTAGACTGAGGAGACTGCCAGACTTTTCGACAAGTTTGATAGATAACGTATTAACCTTTGCAATGTTAACGTCTGGCTTGAACAAATAAAAAGAGAAAGAGGAAAAAGCACTTAAAAATTCTGCCACGGGGCTCTAAGGGGCTTGCCCCCCAGTAGCCCCCAGAAGACAACCAATTCCTGTGCGTTCCGCTCCGCTCACCCGCCTTCCCAGCTTCTCTCTCTCTCTCTCTCTCTCTCTCTCTCTCCCCCCCCCCTTTTCCCACGCTCGTCTTGAACCGGGACCCAGGAAGGCAGAAGCAAGACACCGGTCCCCTTTCTCCTCTCCTCCATCAAGCCACCGCAGCCCAGCGCGTGCAGCTTCCTTTTGTTCACCAAGGCTCGCTGTCCTCCCCCGGCAAATTCACCTGGATGCTCTCCCTCCGTGACATTTTGCGCCGGGGCGGGTGGGTGGCTGGGGTGGAGCGAGAGGAGCCCGAGGGGGCGGGGGCGGAGAAAGGTCAAGCCGAGGGAAAGGTGGGAGACGCCGTGCATAGCCTGCGTGGCGGGGCGTGCGCTCCGTTATTTATTTATTTTCTCCTTATTTACTGATCGCACGAGCAGAGCGGCACCAGGAGCCTGGGGACATGCAGGACCACCCACTGGCGGGGAAGCAGCAAACCGCCCTCCCGCGCACCCGCGCTGCTGAGCGCCTCCAGCCTCCGCGCTCCGGCGACTGCCCGCGCGGGCCCGGGCCCCGGCCCCGGCCCCGCAGCGCCACAGCCCCTGCAGCTCTGCAGCCCCTTCCCCCAGCAACCCTGCACCGCGCAGCTCCGACCCCGGCCCCGACCCCGGAGACAGCGGCGGCGCAGTAAGTTGGCAGGAGCGAGTCCCCTTGGTTCGCCTCCCCCGCACCTTTTGAACTTGTTGCTGCTGCACGGCTGGCCTGCGTCCGGCTTTTGGAAGGTGAAAAGGAGGAGGGAAGCACGGAAGGATGGGGGAAGGGGAAGCCTAGCTCGCTTGAGCTTTATTTATGCTTCATCGGCGCCTGGATTCGGCTGCTTGCAAGCTGCTCCCTCTGCTTTTCCCTTTTCGGGTGCACGGCGAGGAGAAAGTCTCTAATGCAACTCAGCCCGGATGCACACTTGGCCAGGTATGTACCGCAGGCGAGGCGCGTTCTGTGCGCAGACAGATGCTGCTGCCGCCGAGGCGGTGGCGGCTGCCAGCTCCCGGGCTTCTTAACTGTTACACTGCACCTGAGCTGAACTTGAAAAGAGAGTGAAGGGGCTATTGGGCGAACGCTTTTGGCAGACACAAGGGGCGCTTGTAGACGAGGGGAGGAGGATCTATACTAACGCCCCCACCGCGCCTGCCCCGTAGCACCTCGATCTCTACAAATACAGCAGGAGGGGTAGAGGTGGCCACCGGACTCCCAAAGAGACGTGGGGCAGTGTCTGTGATGCATCTGGGGAGCTACAACAGGTCGCCTTTTTGAGACTCCTTTGGCGGGAAGGGCCACTTGAAAAAGGAAGGTTTGAAAGAGTCAAAAGGGAAGGTATAAGCGTTCCTTAATTCGTCAAAAGAATACCACTGAGTGATTGTCTTTCGTTTTCTTTACCCTATACAAAGCATACTGACCTCACGTTATCTTCGTGTCAGAGGAGAAATCAAAGACACCTACTTGCAGAAATTGCTGCATCTAAAGTCACCTGTGTACTTATTTGTACCAGGAGTGGCCTGGTCCAACTGCTGGAAAACGTTTGGTTAGGTTCTTTAGGGTGTGATTGTTAGGACATTGTATTTTCCAAATAGCTATCTTTGAGGAAAACTTGCCCTTCTGAGAACTGTGACTTCACCAGGAACCGTACCTTGGAATAAGAGTGCTACCTCTGGACCACCTTTCTCTGTAGTATTTGTTTGACAGTAGGAAGTGCGTGTTTGTGGCTACTTTGACCTACGGTAGAGGCCTGATTGCACTTCTTGCCTCCACTTCAAGGCACCATGGCTGCAGGTGTAGCAGCATGGCTGCCCTTTGCAAGGGCAGCGGCCATAGGATGGATGCCTGTGGCTTCGGGCCCCATGCCAGCTCCCCCAAGGCAGGAGAGAAAAAGGACTCAGGATGCTCTGATTGTGTTGAATGTGAGCGGCACCCGTTTCCAAACATGGCAGGACACCCTGGAACGGTATCCAGATACTCTACTGGGCAGTTCTGAGAGGGACTTTTTCTACCATCCCGAGACTCAGCAGTATTTTTTTGACCGTGATCCAGACATCTTCCGCCATATCCTGAATTTCTACCGCACTGGGAAGCTCCACTATCCTCGCCATGAGTGCATCTCTGCATATGATGAAGAATTGGCCTTCTTTGGCCTAATCCCAGAAATTATTGGCGACTGCTGTTATGAGGAGTACAAGGATCGCAGGCGAGAGAACGCGGAGCGCCTACAGGACGACGCTGATACTGACAATACAGGAGAGAATGCTTTGCCCACCATGACTGCTCGGCAGAGAGTCTGGCGGGCATTTGAGAACCCCCACACCAGCACAATGGCCCTGGTGTTCTACTATGTTACAGGGTTCTTCATTGCCGTCTCAGTCATCGCTAATGTGGTCGAAACAGTGCCATGTGGGTCTAGCCCAGGTCACATTAAAGAACTGCCTTGTGGGGAGCGGTATGCAGTGGCCTTCTTTTGCTTGGATACCGCCTGCGTCATGATCTTCACTGTTGAGTACTTGCTTCGCCTGGCTGCAGCGCCCAGTCGTTACCGTTTTGTGCGTAGCGTCATGAGTATCATAGATGTGGTGGCCATCCTGCCTTATTACATTGGGCTAGTGATGACAGACAATGAGGATGTGAGCGGGGCCTTTGTCACACTCCGAGTCTTCCGTGTCTTCCGGATCTTTAAGTTTTCCCGCCACTCTCAAGGCCTGCGCATCCTGGGGTACACATTAAAGAGTTGTGCATCCGAATTGGGCTTCTTGCTCTTCTCGCTCACCATGGCTATCATCATTTTCGCTACAGTTATGTTCTACGCAGAGAAGGGGTCTTCCGCCAGCAAGTTCACCAGCATCCCTGCTGCCTTCTGGTATACCATCGTCACTATGACAACACTAGGGTAGGTGCCATCAGGGAAATGGGATGGAGGTTGGATATGTGGGAGGTGATTGTGGACCCACTAAAGTTATATAATAAATTAGAAGAAATAGTTTTTCTCTCTTCTAAATGAGTTTAGGAAAGCATTATCTAACTGGTTTTGAAGAACTCTTTTGATCTATGAAATGGGTACGATATTGAGATTAAAGTACTTAGGGAGTTCAGGATTGACGCCTGAAAGTGATAAATACAATAAAGACATTTTAGAATGCCTGACTGTAAGGAAGGATCTCAATATTATATGTATGAATACATAAAAATATAATAAGAATGTAAAACACAAAATGTGTGCCCAATAAAGGTTTGAATATACACCATATATATTGAAATGCCTAGAAAGTGCTCCAGTGTATTCAAGTGAATACACTGTATATTTGAAGTATTATTTTCATAGGAATAGATTCGGCATGCATTTTCATTCTAAAAACTACAATTCTTATTTTGCATTATAAAATATAGATTACAGATTCATTATAAAATAATTTTGTAATGTATATGTGCATATTCCTATGTATGTATTTTCATTGTGGCTGATAAGTTATGCAGTTTTAGAATATCAGGGCTGAAAATGATCAATTCTATAAAGTGCAGTGGAATTATATTTTGCAACATATTTTAGATTCTTGGTTCATAATTTGAAAAAAAGAAGCAAGCTACTATCATCCATCATTTTTTGAGAAATGACTGATCCCATCAGGCAATGGGTCCATGACCATTAAACACATATAAAAGGTAGAGCAGTACCTGGTGAGATTAAATGTCACCAAGGGCTGATTGCCTTATAGAATTTGGTGCATTATAATTTTCTTTTAGAATTCTTTTATGCATTCTTTTATTTGGAGGTAATGGTGGGTTTTTTTGCAAGCAAAGGGGCATATTGTGGATTAATGTTTTAAAAAATTAAGCTGGAATTACAATATTTTGCATTAGAGAAAAAGAAAGGAAGGAAATGATCATTAATATTAAGCAGACTTCAGAAAAATAGCAGCATTTACAACAAGATGGTTAGAACTTTTTTACTTTTATGAGTTCTTAGATAAGCCAAGTAGTGACAGTTCCTTTTCTTCAGCTTTATGCTCCTTTCTGGCATAGTTCATCAGTTCAGTAGGGATTTGGTAATGGCTATAAGAAAAAAGTTATTCCCAAAGCTGCTTTTTCAGTTTTGTGTTTCTGGCTAATTTAATTGCCTTCTTTAAATGATAATGGTTAAAATCAACCTAATTTTTTTAGACATCTTGTGTTGAACAGAGTTTCTCATGCTGTCATATAGCCAACTAATAGAATATTTTACAGGTAAAGAATTTTGGGTTTAATAGAAAATTATAGTATAGTAAAATATAGTAACATGATTTTGATTTATTTTTACATGTTTTTTGAAATTCTACTGGTGCTTTTTCAAAAATAAATTAGTGAAAATCCATATTCTATTGCTTCTATTTCTCTTTTATCTTGGTAATTTTGTGATAAGATTTGAAGAAGATTCAGAATAGTATAGGTGCCTAATTTTTATCAAAGAAGAATATATATATATATATATATATATATGTGTGTGTGTGTGTGTGTGTGTGTGTTGATAGATAGATAGATAGATAGATAGATATAGTTTTGTTTTGTTTTTATCATTTGAAATATTTATTAAGGATGATTGGATAGTGCAAATCAATATCAGGACTTCAAATTAGAAGTACATGTGAATGAAAAAGGACTCTGGGTTAAGAAGAACTAAAGGAAGATTAAAAGGAAATATATTTTACAATTTTGGTGTCATTGGCAGTATTTTTCATGAAGCAATGAGTCATTTTAATACTATATAGTGTCTATAAGATTGAATATAGACATTATTATAATGAATGTGATAAGATGCTAATTTTATCCAGCTAGATGTTCTATTCTGGATGTATGAGGTTAGTATTATTGTAAAATTTATTTCCTGAAATGACTTGAATACTTTTATTTTATTTTGAAATTTATTTTTGTTTTCAGGAGAATAATGAGGAACTGTTAACCATTAATGACATTTTTATTATATAATAAAATGCTTATAAGCATCTACTTTTTGAAATAATTTAAGAAACTGAATCATGATACTGGAGTAAAGTTCCTGAAATGGATTTAATTCACATGTTTCATATGTAAGTGGATTAGAAGAATTATCTCAGAATTTGGAAGGAAAATGGGAGTTATTTTTAAGATTTAAATTTCATTTAAGTTGAAAAGTTTAATTTTTAGAAATTAAACTAATTAGTGATTCTGATGGAATATAGTAGTCATACTTTTAAGATGTAGAAAGGATGCAATCAAAATATAATTTATTTATTGGAAAATATATGAACATTTAAGAAAGCATATTTTATATAATATAGCAGAGTTTCTTAGGAAAATGTTTCCATATAATGTAATTATATATATAAATTCTGCCTTTTTGTGTCTTATTTGTGGTTGCATTGTAACTCAAAAGCTTTATTTAAGAATAGAAAATAGTCAACAAAAGCCATTGCCTGAATTTATTATTTTTTGTAGCTTTATACTTAATAAGAAGTATAAGGTATAAACTTTCTGAAAAAATATGCAGTAGTTGATGCTAATATCAAGCTGTGTGTGATAGGCGGCCAAGGATTTCCCATTACATTTTCTGAGCTCTTTTTATATGGCTATTATTTTTAATGGAGTTAATGTCCATCAATTAATTATAACAGAAGTGAAAATGGAATCTTAAATAGTGGTTATCAAAAGTTTCAGCTCATGCAAACATTATCTGTAGGAGAGGAAATAGCCAACAGCTTTGTAATTCAGAACTGGCAGAATTTTCTTTTCCCTCTCAGGTCATTTTAGGCAATATGCAGTTGGTTTCTTGGTCTGAAGAAATGCTTGGGTTTTTCTTAGAACTACTGTGTATTCATCTAATTGTTTTTATTCCCCTTGAAATATCAAGTATATTGTTATATTATAACTTAAACATGCTTGTTCTTAACGTAATTGTTTAACTTGCTTATAAAATTAATGCTTTAAAATATAAATTTAAGTCTACTCATTTCCAATTAATTAAAGTAGAAAACATCAAAAGCACAATTTTAAAAAGTCAATAAAATAATGTCAGATTTTTAAAAACAGGGTTTTGATTGAGGGGCCATGCATATATGTTTCTCCTTTCCTACCTTCCTTTCTGTGTATATTTTTTTACCTGCATTAGACCCTGACTACTGTTTTATTCCCCTACCTCCTTTCTTTGCGTAATGTAAACTCTTAATTACAACCTTAAACTGCCTTGGAAAAAAAGAATCTGAAAACACCTCCTTTGTCCTAATGACCTTTGGGAGAGAGCCTCCAGGCCTTGTTTTTCATTTAGGTGATAGTACTTAAATACTGCCCAAATTAGGAAATTTATAAATGATCACTAATGATCAAAAACAATGCTGTGAAAATATATTTACAAGTTCCAGCTTCAGTTTACTGTTGTACCTCAGGTGCATGATTTGTGAGTGAGAAGTGGTATCAGGTGACACATTAAATAATTGGAGGAGATTTTTATTTTAGGCAGTATCTTCATTCTTGGTCATGATTACTAACCGTTTAGACCCTTTCTTAAAAACAAAGCTTATATTACTCATGAAATAAAAGCTAAGAACTTGAGAAGTGTTATTTCTGTAGACATTACTACTTTAATTGTAAAACAAAGATGTTTTCAATATGAGGAATAAAGTTACTACGTGGCACTTCTGTAAATTTTGTGTGTAGAATAAACTTTATGATTTAATTACATAAATCATATTCTGATTTCTGAACAAACACAGGAACACAAAATTCATTTATAGTGTACATTAATCAGAAACAAATATGGTAGAATTACCTCTATGACCTCAGAAAAAACTTAGTGTAGTTGTCTATTTATAAGACTCAACAAGAACTCTATAATATTTCAGTTTTAATAGGTGGTAAATTGCTATTTTAAATAACAAAAAAGCAAAATAGTGTTTCTTTGCTATTTTTTTAATAATGTAGCAGGGAAATTCCTATTTTAGAATGGCATAATTGGAGTGGGATTAATAGAGAGAGAGAGAGTTTTATATGTCATATTTCATATAACATACAAGCATGTTACAAATATCATATATATAATATGTTATAACATGTATATAATTCAAAAGAAGAATAAACTTTTAAACATCTTCTTGTTACTCATCACTATTCTGACTACATAGCCTTGGAGGACTATTGGGAGTATATCTCACAGAATCATTTATGTAGAGACTTTATCCAGCTATTACTGAAAATGGATGGAATTATTTTCTCCTGGCCATCATCTTACGTAAATATTGCTAACATGTTGATCAAACACATTTTTATAACATGGGAAGTACCAAAATTTAACTTTCTATGAGTATCATCCACTTTTATTTTGGCCTACTACAACATATTTTTAGAGTTCTTTACAGAGCATGTTAATTGATGGTAGTTGAAAACAAACTTTTAAAAAATGTAGAAAAATGTGATATAGCTGTATTCCTCTTTTAGCAATCCAGGTAACTAAATCGTATATTTTGTTTTAGTCATTTGTTTAGAGACAGTATTTGACATGACATGCATACCTTTTAAATGCGTATATTTATTCATTTAAAAAATATATGCACTGTAATTTCTTTTATAAGCATTTACTTTGTTGACAGACAGAGGTATGTCAGAAAGAGATAATATGTGTTCTCATAGCATAGCACCATAGAGAATGGGCCATGTTCTAATTTTTAATGGGTCTATGATATTTTTTTCTTTGTAAGATTTTTCTTTATAATGCAGATTGACTTGGTCTTAATTTTATTTGTATAGTTATTTCATTTAATTCTGATTTCATGTATTTTTCATTTGTGTAAACTTTATACTCATATTTGAAAATGAGTTAATGAAGTTCCTATTTCTTATTATCTAATTTCTGAATTCCTATGACAGGAAACTTAGCAGTTATTTATT